ATCAGGGACTGATACCTTGAAGAGTCACTGACCCAACCCCTTACAGGAAAAGCCCCTGTTCTGTATTCATGCCCGCTTGCTACGTGACTCGCTTTCCCATTTGGTCCCTATTTAATCAATTTTACCTAAACAATTCTTATTGGCTGACTATAATTTTGTCCATTTTCTCCTACCTTGGCCCCACCTCATCTCGTGGTTTTGCTCTATAAAAGTCCCTTGAGGGGGCTGGGGGTTCAGCTCAGCAGCACAGCGCCTGCCTGGCAAAAGCAAGGACTTGAGTTTGATTCCCTGTACCGGGAAAACCACCCCCCACCAAAAAACAAAACAAAACGAAAAGAGTCCCTAGAAAAGACAGCGTCTTGACCAACCCACTCTGGCCCCCCTTCTCTCCCTCTCTTCGACAGAAGCTTTCTTTTCCTCAATAAATATATTCTGCTCTTAAAAAATAATTAATTTACATACTGTGCAATAAATTTCTCCTCCCTCCACCATCCTCCCCTCCGCATCCCTCCTTCCTCCTTCCCTCCCTTCCTTCCTTCTTTTTGCTCTTCTCTCTTTTCTTTTGTCTTTTTTTCTACAGGACTGAGGATTGAACCTAGTACCTTTATGCTGAGCTATGTCTCCAGCCCACCTCCCTTTAATTTTATATTTTGAGACAGGATCTCACTAAGTTGCTAAGTTGCCCAAGCTTGGCTCAAACTGTGTCTCAGCCTCCTAGAGGGTCAGCCTTCTTCCCTCCCTCCCTTCTTTCCTTCCTTTTCTTTCTTTTCTTCTGTCTTCTTTCTGCCTGTCCTATTTAGCACATCATTAAGAAATCATGATTTTTATATGTTCATTTTCAAACAACTGCATATGTTTCTTTAAGCGTCTCATGCTCTACTGACTGAGCTAGCAGGGCAACTTGCATACATTTCTTTAAATGCTCAAATTATCCTTCCTTTCTCCAAAGGAGACCCCTGATGTTAGTGTCTGCATCTCTTTGATTTACTTATTTGTTGTAAATGGATTCCTTGTTTTGTGGCACAAGATATTTATTCCAAGCTCATCTTGTATATATCTTATCCCAGGCCTGAAATTACGCATTGCTTTGACAAGCCCCAGAACCAGTATTTTAAAACCCCAAACAAGGGGGTTTTACATTATTTTATTTGTAGTAAAAGTGAGAACTTTTTTCTTGGTCTTTTTGAGACAGGGTCTCGCTATGCAGTTCAGGCTGGTCTCGAGCTCACTTTGTAGCCCATGCTGGCCTCGAACTCCAAATGATCCTCCTGCCTCAGCCTCCTGAGTGTTGGGATTACAGGAGTGTACCACCACACCTGGCCAAAGTGAGAATTTATAAACCTAAAATTTTTTTCCAATGTGATAATTTTAGAATTTAGTATTTATTTTGGAAGTAAAACCATAATTACTTTATTTTTACTTTAAGTACACTTTAATATTATTTATATAAAAGATGATGCATGACATTCATTTTAAGTATACCTGAAATTTGGTTAATAACTACAATGTTTCATTTTTCCAGGCTGCATATCTCATATTCAAAATTTCTCCGAAATTTCAAGATGAAGAACATAAATGAAATCTCAAATGTTTTCAAATTAATTCAAATAAGAATATCAATTTCCTCAGAGTTGCTATAGTAAAAGCTTTGAAAAACTTTTAGAAATGTGATTGATATGAGCTTTCAGATCTAAGTTTCAGCTTGGAATAAGTGAAGGGTTATAATTTCAGGTGTTAGCAGACTCCTGTGTGGAAACGCACGACATATTCAAACACATGGAATGCAAAATGTTATTCTCAGTGTGAGGTCTGAGAGTGCTAGCGGTTACTGAGATTCTTTTAGGAACTTTGCAGGGTCCTCCCTTTTTAACCTATGAATTTGAGGGCCGACTTTCTCCACAACATCTTAGCTATATGTCTTACTTTCTCATTGCTAGGACAAAATACCTGACATCCACAAGATAAAGAAAGAAAGGTTGGTTTTATCTCATAGTTTGTAGGGTTTCAATCCATAGCTGGCTCCAAGGCAAGACAGTGTTAGGCGAACAGCAGAGGAGAAACAGCCCATGGCAGGGCAGACAGGAGGCAGAGCAGAGGATCAGGGTAACATGAGGGCCATATACCCTCCGTGCCCGCAGTGACCCACCTCTTCCCGTCAGGCTTCACTGCCTAACATCACAAGCAGCTACCCAGCTATAAACCCATCAGAGGACTAATCCAGCACCACACACCCATGACCCAGTCACCTCCCAAAAGCCCCACCTATGAGTGGGGGTGCAGGAGGCTTTGGGGGGGACGTCTGGATACAAGCCATAGCACTACAACAACATATCAAAGCAGGCTGAATGCAGAAGTAGAATACGAGAATCTGCCTGTCTCTATTAAGTGAAATAATTAAGAGATTTTAAAAAATAAAGTAAGAAAGGATGCTTCTCTCATCGTGGTGCATTAACTAATGATCAGTTTGTAACATCCAGCTGAACTGAATCAGCGCTGTGCTGGGTGCGGATGGCTCACCAGAGGTTTGCTGCCAACAGTATAAAAAGAGAACTGGAGGGGGAGACGGTGTGCTGCTGAGTCTCCTGGAGAAGCTTGCTGCTCTGGTTTCTGGATATGAGCTCCGCTGCTCTCGTCATCAGAGGAGCTAGGGACCTCGCTGTTGCTGAGGATGGATGTGGTCATTTTTGGGATAGTGCTGGTCCTTACCTTGAGCATCACTTCCTGGCTTCCAGGGCAGATCCCTCAGCCTGGTGGAACAGATCCTTCATCCCACTGGTACAGCTTCCACCACCGACCTTGGGGCCTTGCCAGTGCAGATCCTTGATACAGACTTGCATGAGATATTGCCACGGGCTCTAGGCCTCCGACTGGACTCATTCAGGACATCACTGTAGGATTCAGGCCCTCAGCTGGATTCTTCAGGTCTCTAGTGTGTGGATGGATCTCCTGCACTTTTGGATTTGACTCTTTGGGTGAATATTTTAAATTAATCCTATCAATTATGTGTCCTGCGTTCAATTCTTTCCCTGTAAACCCTGACTACAACACTCACCTTAAAAAATATAGTTATTATTTTTAAAAATTATCTTGGGTTGAGGATGTAGCTCATTAATAGAGCAAACTGCTTTAAGCTCCTGTACCCCCCTCCCCAACCAAAACACCAAAGTATCTCTCACTGAGTGGCTTAAACATAAAATGATCTTTATAGGAGCATGTAGCGGGTTTATTATTTTTAAAAATAAATTAACAAACGCATATTTAAAATTTTAATAGTCTAGTAAATATGAATATGTTGAGCCCACACAAATGAAAGTTTAATTTTAAAACTGTAAAGAGATTTTGAGAGTTCAAAGTTTTGAGAACTGCTTTAGATTGTATAAATCTTTCACCTTTTACTAAGAATGTGCATATAGGAATAGATTTAAGAGATGTGTGAAGGATATATTCATAGAATTTGTAAGCCTAATTATTTCAAGTTAACTTTGCTTAAACATCACATTGAATGTGAGATATGCCATCTAATCATAATTTAAATTTGTACCTCAGTTAGGAATATAGGATTCACTTTTCCCTGATGACACTGATGCAAAATAGAGTTCTCTACTAATGTGTAAGTAACACATCATGTAAGGCTTTTAAACCACAGGACCTCCTTTTGAACCAATTTTCTGTATTAACAAGCTTTCACATTGCCGGACACTACCTGACACCTACCACTCAAAGGAGAAGTCTTATTTGGCTCACATTTGTAGTTATAAGGCCACTTGAGTCTCTGAGTAGAATTTTAAACCTTTGAAATTAACTTTGAACGCTGAACGCCAGCACATCCAGTATTAGTACCGGGTGATTACAAAATAACTGAGTTTGGTAGCATCCAAAAGGAGAATAAAGGCAGAATTTAATGTATGATTAGATGAGGGGTAAAAATGGAAAAAAATTGTTGTGTTTGTTCAGTTCTTTTTTTTTATTTTAAAGATAAAAGGAGGGAAACATTAACAGACATATAACATTTTACAACATATCACAAGCACATTACAGACAATACAGAGTTACAAACAAAGTGGTAGGGAATTAACAATGGTGGTTGTATTGTTCAGTTCTTGACTGCATTCTCTTTGTGGGTTGTAGTAAAAACTCAGTTAAAAGTTTCTACAAGCTCAAGGTGGTAGCACATGCCTGTAATCCTAGCATTCGGGAGGCTGAGGCAGGAGGATCACCGTGTGTTCCAGGCCAGCCTGGGCTAATATAGTGAGACCCTGCCTCAAAACCGAACCGAAATGAGCCGAATGGAACCAAACCAAACCGTTACAATTCGAGCGCAAAAGCCTAAGTATAAACTTCGAGCTCTTCCCAGGCAAGACCCTGCCCTGGCGTCTCCTTTTGGCCTGCCTACAGGCAGCACAACTGAATCCCGTTCCTGTGCGCTGTGGATACGAAATGCAACGAGGGGTCTGCAGAGACTAGAGAGGCGCTTTGGCACTATCCCTATGGCTGGCAGCCACGAGAGGGTCTCATTTTCCTGAGAACAGTTTCCTAGAGTTTTCAGCTCCCTGCTCCGGGCAAGCGCTATAGGTAACCGCTTGCAGGCTGAGCGTCGCTTCGGATCCGCTGCAAATCCGCGCCCCGTTTTTCGTTCGACCCAGTTCGCGAG